AGTAACATTTAGTTTTATGTGAAAATCGCTCTGTGAACTACATCTCCCAGAAGCGAAACAACGAGTGAGATCCGCTGCTCGTGTGTGTGCAGTCTGGTACAAAACACTCGATATGACGGCGTAACGTTACGATTATAACGCAAGACTATAGAAACAATGACGGACATTAGCCTCAGTAAAGTTAGCTTCATTCATTGAGAGAAAATGTGCGCCTTTGGGGTTTGTAGTCTTTGTAATTACGGATTACGGTTTTACATCAAACTGCGACTTTCTTTACTTTAAAATGTATCTTTTAAATTGACAAACATCATATGTGTAATTCAGGGCACAATTCAAACCAGATTAAAATATTTGTTGTCTCTCGCCATTCAATATTTTTCCGAAATAAGGTCCCATGGTGGTCGACCGGAAGGGGAGGGACTTAGGCTCTCTATATGCGTGTGTTCGGTTGCTCAAACGCTTGAGTTTTCCGTTTTCCAACTGTGTTGGTTAAGAATGAAATGGCTAGAATTGATTAACCCTGAATCACCAACGCATCACCAGCGCTCGGATTCGCTTCCATCTAAACGAAACGCTATTGGCTATTTCAAAAGGGGGAGGAGCCATTCAATATGTCCCGGCTTAGCTTACGTCAACGCATTATACAAAACGGTGCGTTCCAAGGCACTTCAGTGGGTCTTTAAGTGTCTTTCATGTCTGCATAAAAGGATCTTCAGACTGAATCGCAAGTGAAGTTGTATTAGTCAGAGTGAGGTCATTCGTCCTATCGCAGGTCGGAGAAACGTCTGGGCTTTTATCAGCCGGGGGATTCAAGACTCAAATGATCAGGATCAATCACACAGATGTTGCCATTAACAGCAATCAGAGCTAAGACACTTTCAGACTTGTTCCAGCATTATTCCTCTTCTTGTGTGCCCAGACTGCCACAGTGATGTGACTAATGCAGCATGATAGTGCTTATATAAGAGTTTCAGAAAAAATTAGAAACTGAGTGCATAAAAATTTCACTTTGTTCTCATATTCAGAGGACTAATTAGCAAGAGGCTTATGAACTACTTGTATGCTCCTACCTTCTGGTCGCCAGCCCATGGTCACTGTATGGATAAAGAGCAGCTTGGGCATGATATGATGATTTTCATTTTCAGAAATTCAGTGTGAATTATTCCATTGAAAGATCGATAAAAATCATCTCTGATATTACACGAGTCATTTGTCCTTGTTTCAGCATTACACCTTTTATCACTAAAACTAAGAATAACACACTCTAGGTTTTTTAGAGGACTTTCCTAAACGGTGATTGATAGTTTTAATTATGGCTGCAATAGAGGTGGCTTTACTATTGGATAATTAGATGTATGATTAATAAACACCATTACTGAGACACAAAGATGAGGGAATTCAGAGGAACTGTCCTCCTTAAACGTTATCGCTAATAATCAAATGAATGCTGCGTGGGTAAAATGACAGAAACCCACCACACGAAGATACACATTCAATAACTATGAAATGGAGAGAACCTAGTGTTGTACACCAGCTAAGAGGGACATTTCATGTAATAACAGACGTTTACTTACAGGTTAATTTTACAAAACAGGTGCTAATTGTGCTTTTCATAAATTATACATTTGTGTCTTATGAACTTTTAGTTAAAAAAAAAAAAAAACAATGAATTTTTTAGATAAATTTGTCAACCCTGTTTGGTAATAGTCGATGCAATAAAGTAAGGTAAAGTAAAATAATGTAATAAAATAAAAATATATATATATTTTAGGAAGTGCCAGATTGATCAAATCTGTTATTACTTGCATGGTCAGAAGGAGACGAGCTCAATGTCAACCCTTTTACCCATGATTTTGATTAATAAACAATCGATATAGTACTTTAAAATTGGCCATTTTATGGAAGTACCAGCATCCTTCGTAGTTTCAAGCTTTCAGCAAAAGGCTTGTAATGTCAAATGGGCTATATGCACGCATAAGTTCCGCATTTGACGTAAGGATGCTCGTCCATTTCCGGTTGTGTAGATTAAAGCGGAGGAAAACCGGAGAAAACGGGATTATGGCAGAGTCTTCAATATTTACTGTCCTCCCGTCTTTGAAACGAAACGTACATACGTTTAGATGTAATTTTATATATAGTTATGTTTATTTAATATTATTTTAAAAAGAAGCATAAACACAACGAGGGGTGTCTGTTTTATCTGTTTTTGTGACAAACGTTTCATTAGTATAACCATGGAGTATAAAATTCAATATAAATTCTCGGTATTGCATTGGACTCTACGATCGGCGGAAGTTATCGAGCATCCTTAATCCTTCACCGGAAATAACGCCGTGCAAAGAGCCCATTAAAATGTGAAAACTATGTAAATTAAAGTGTCAACCCTGTTCCCTTTCTAAAGGCATAACTATATCATAACATATATTTATTAATATATTAACCAAAATATATTAATTTAGTCTGAGATTGCACAATGCAATTAAAACACACATTATTTAATTCAATATCAAAATGTCCTTAGAAAAATCACCTTTTCAAAATGGAAAAGACACTGTTTCCGTTTCATCCAACGACCCCAATTAATGTGGGGATAAAGGTCATTCTGATTGAGGCGTCTCTCTAACTGGCTCAGTGTCTTTATCGCTGGATGTTTTCAGACAGACAGTGTGTGTTCGTCTCTTTTTAATCTCTCAGACCTCACACAAATTATTCATTTTCACTTCCATCTGGTGTTCTGGGGTGCTCTATCCTGATCCCGCCCGCTTGGCACGGCACACTAATCAGCCGTGACGTGTTCAAAAGGCCTGGCGTTTTGTCCCCACACGGCTAAAGCTCTTACCAGGGCAGCCGACTCAAAGACAATCTATTATAAGAGCCCGAGGAAAAGATGAGGCGGTGAGAGAGAGAGAGAGAGAGTGGGGGATCTTTCTCTCCGTTCAAGAGAATCATTAGTCAAACTGTCTGAGAGAGAGAGCATAACCAAACTGTCACAGACTCGTTAGTTTCAACCTTCCCATTATTCCCTGCGGTGGTTGTTCAGCGCTGTAGGTATTCTTACATCAAACAGCAAAAAGAAGTCAGAAAATGGCCACAAAACCTCCTCAAACAGGTCTTAATTATCAGACGCATCTCTGGATCTGTGCCTGTAAACGCTATTTGCGACGCTGGGTTAGTCAAACACTGATTAAAATGTTTTCCATAAAAGGTGAGATGGTAAACGGTCTGATTGGCCTGCTATCAGTTTGATTACTGTTATTATCTCTCAGACAGTTAATGACACATTGTGGTGATTTGTTTTTCGGTGACACGCTGTACACACACTTTGAGACACATGATCCAAACACATGATGCCCAATATGATGATTTAATAGAGTAGCATAAACACGCTAATATTCCCCGCAGGGTAACTGATGAGATAATGAAATGCCAGAGAGTGGAGGAAAAAATGTGTAGAAGATAAAAAGATGGAAAGAAGAGAAAAGATGAAATAAAAGAGACCAAATGAGACAGGGGATGGGATGAGATGAGAGGAGATGAGAGGAAATGAGAGGAGATAAAAGGAGACAAGATGAGACGAGATGAGATGAGACAAGATGAGATCAGATGAGACTAGATGAGATGAGAGGAGATGAGATGAGACGAGAGGTGATGAGATGAGATGAGAGGAGACAAGATGAGATCAGATGGGACGAGATGAGATGAGAGGGAGAGGAGAGGATATGAGATAAGAGGAGATGAGATGACAGGAGAGGGAGAGGAAAAGAGATGAGAGGAGATGAGAGGAGATGAGAAGAGATGAGAGGAGATGAGACGAGAGGTGATGAGATGAGAGGAGACAAGATGAGATCAGATGGGACGAGATGAGATAAGAGGAGAGGGAGAGGATATGAGATGAGAGGAGATGAGAGGAGATGAGATGAGAAGAGATGAGAGGAGATGAGACGAGAGGAGAGGAAAAGAGATGAGAGGAGATGACAGGAGAGGGAGAGGAGAGGAGATGAGATGAGATGACAGGAGAGGGAGAGGAAAAGAGAGGAGATGAGATGAGAAGAGATGAGAGGAGATGAGATGAGACGAGAGGTGATGAGATGAGAGGAGACAAGATGAGATCAGATGGGACGAGATGAGATGAGAGGAGAGGGAGAGGAGAGGAGATGAGATGACAGGAGAGGGAGAGGAAAAGAGATGAGACGAGAGGTGATGAGATGAGAGGAGACAAGATGAGATCAGATGGGACGAGATGAGATGAGAGGAGAGGGAGAGGAGAGGATATGAGATGAGAGGAGATGAGATGAGAGGGAGATGAGATGACAGGAGAGGGAGAGGAGAGGAGATGAGATGAGATGAGATGAGATGACAGGAGAGGGAGAGGAGACAAGATGAGAGGAGATGAAAGGAGACGAGATCAGACGAGAGGAAACAAGAGGAGATCAGACGAGAGAAGAGTAGACTAGAGGAGACGAGGGAGGAGAAGAGAGGAGAGGACAAGAAATAAGTAGATAAAAGGAGACAAGAGGAGATGAGACAAGAAGAGAGGAAACAAGATAAGAGTAGATGAAAGGAGACCAGATCAGACGAGAGGAAATAAGAGGAGATCAGACGAGAGGAGTGGAGACAAGTTAGAGGAGATGAGAGAAGACGAGAGAAAATAAAAGATGAGAGCAGAAATGAGACAAATAAAAACGAAAGAGCGAAGAGACAGGATGATACAGAGATAAGAGGAGATGAAAATGAGACAAGAGGAAAAAAGACAAAATTGGAGACAAGTTGAGAAAAGAGAAATCAGACGAGAGGAAATGAGAGAAGAGACAATAAGAAGAGAGATATATGGGAGCGAAAGTTAAAAAATGAGATGACGGGAGAAGAGTTGAGTTAAAAAGCGAGAGAGGAGACAAGATGAGATGAAACCAAGACAAAATACACAAGACAGCAGTGAGTCAGGATGAGAAAGGAGTCGTGGATCTGAGACGCTGAGCGCGTGTGTGTGTGTGTCGTCTCACCGTGCAGTGGATCTGCTGCTGCAGGAGTGTGGGCACGTCTCCTCCGATGGGCATCTGTTTGTTCAGCTCCTCATCCTTCACACTGATCCAGCGCCCCAGTTCCTCCAGTACTGACAGAAGCCTGTTCCAGCGCTCAGCACTGGCCTCCAGATGAGCCCTGCGCACACGTTTCAACATTTAAATCATACAAAACTCAGGATTTTCTTACAAACACAGTTACAGGAGAACTTTCCAACAGACTTTCTCTGTACAAAATGAGTGCAACAGGTGGAATGCAGAGCGTTTCTCTCGCATTTGTGACTAAAAATAGATGTGTGCGAACTATAAAATGTACAGCAGCAACTGTAAGCAGAAGACCATATAAAAGACACAAAAGGTCACCAAGTGCCCAGGCACATGCTTTAAAGTTACCAAATCTCTGCCGATCTCATAGCTGAAGAGTGAAACATCCACTGGCAGGAATATCTGCTCAGAAACTGTGCGGCGGGAGCTTCACCCAATGGGTTTCCATCGCCGAGCCTCACATCGCCAACTATAATGCCAAGCGTCGGATAAAGTGGCGTAAATCACACTACCAAGCGAGCAGTGGAAACATGCCCTGTGTCCTGACACATGACACTTCTGTGTTCGCCAGTCTGATGGATGAGTCTGGGTTTGGCCTGACTATACTGTAGTTTGGTGGAGGGGGGATGCTGGTGCGGGGTTGTTTCTCAGGGGTCGGGCTTGACCCCTTACGTCCAGCGAAGGGAAGTCGTAATGCTTCAGCAAACCAATACATTTAGGATGATGAACTTTGTGGGAACGGTTTGGGGAAGGCCTTTTCTATTCCAGCATGACTGCACAAAACAAGGCCATGAAGACATGCTTGGATGAGTTTGGTGTGGAGGAACACATAGTCCTGACCTCAACCCCCCATCTACACCTTTGGGATAAAGTGGATGGAGATTGTGATACGGGGCTTCTGGTCCAACACCAGTGAAAAACACCCACAGAAAAACTCGTGGAAAACCTTACCAGAAGAGTGGAAGCTGTGAAGGGGGACCAACTCCATATTAATGTCTATGTATTTATCAGTGGTGGAAAGTAACTAATTACAAATACTTTCGTTACAGTACTTGAGTAGATTTTTTTTAATTTTTTCTACTTTCTTGAAAATATACTTTTTAATACAACTATGATTGTATTCGACTGAAAGCAGAAAGTCATATCTTCTAAGATGACTTGAGGGAGAGTAAATCGTGGGCTAATTTAAATTTTTGGGTGAACTATCCCTTTAAAGTCATACATCATTCTTTTGAAAATACCTGAAAGTTTGATAAACCCAGATATATTATAGCTATTATGTGTTTGTCTTCATGTTTCATCAGTCAAAACATCACTATTTGCAAGTTATTATATCCATATAAGGCATTTCCTGAAATGTGTAAGTTTAATACTTCTATGCATCAGTTACTGGGCCTTCAGTATGAATGAAACGGATGACATGAGAGTGTTTAGCGCTCCATTTCGCCATCATCTCACCATTTTGGGTAAAAATAGAAAAATACTAAAGTAATTTGTAACGCAATTACTTGAGTAGTTTTTAAGCAAACTACTTATTTACTCTTACTTGAGTCATATTATATTTCAGTACTTCTACTTCTACTCAAGTAAATTTTTACTTAAGTACAATTTGTCAGTACTCTTTCCACCACTGGTATTTGTAATGTGACATCATTGCAGTCTTTGTAGGTCAGGTGTCCCAAAACTTTTGGTGTATTATATAGTGTCCAGAAGGTCCTTAGAAAAAGCTTAATCCAATTTAAGATCATCATTTAAATGGTTTAACAAACATCTTAATTATAATTTTAAGAGGTCTTAAATTTGGGGATGGAAAAACAGAAACAAGGTCTTCAGGATTACAAGAACGCTTCAGGCATGTGAGTTTGATCAGGTTGGCCCAGTTGATGCAGACGGCTGTAAAACAACATGGCACCGCCTGTTTCACTGTTATACGGTAGGGGGCGCTATTATTCATCTTCTAAAATAGTACAGAATCTCCAGATCAAAACACAGATAAAAAGGAGCAGAAACAAGAGATAAAATCAGTGCTTATATATTGTAAATTTGGGAAAGAGTGGGGAAAGAGTTAAAAGTCCTGAATTTTGATTAAAATGTTCTTCATTAAGGAAAAGAATATATATATGTTGATACATTTACACCACATCCCTAAAAGTTTTTAATGTGCTCATCATTTTTCCATTTTGCACCTTGGGAAAAAAGTAAGTGTCAAGCCTTGGTGTGTGTTAATGAACGCATCAGCAAGACTTGTGATTATGCATGTTCACTAATTAGTGCCTAATTAGATTTAATAAAACAGCAGACATTAGAGCACACAATTACATTGTTGTCCTCTCACACACACACATACACACTCTCCTGTTAGTCCATTTTACCCTTTAAAATGGCACACACACATATACAACTATGCTTGTGACACACACACACACACAGCTGCTCAATTGGACAAGATAACAGAAACGCGGCTCCACCAGTGACTCGTGTGATGACCTTAACATTAGCGCGTGCACTAGAACTGCAGGTGTGTGTGTGTGTGTGTGTGACTGACCGTATATTGGCAGATTTGGCCTTCAGGTCGTTCCAGCGCTGGTTCATGTCATCCAGTCTCTGCTGGAGAAATACTGCCTCCTCTGAGCTCCCCAGAGCCTTCACCATCTTCATCTTATTCCCCTCCACACTCCTGAAAACATCATTATGAGCCTCGATCTCCGCCTGGATGTCCTACACACACACAGAGGGAGACAGAGATTGCTTTAATTGCACCGTTATCACCGTCATTATGTGGATTCGTTAACGGTAAAGGTAAATAAATCAACAAAGGAAGAGATGCTTCCACACATCCTCCTCCGAGAGAAAAATACACAATTAAAGCTGTCAGTCTGATACTGAACACACACACACACACACACGCTCGTATCAAACTGAAGATAAATCACATTACTCGTGAAAGAGTCACTTGTTTCAGTGTTATGGTAGATAGATTTTATCTAAATATATTCTTAAATGTCTTTTTTGTTTTGTTTATTTCATTCAGTTCAGTTTTCATTCTTTTCATAACACAGCACCACACGTACCACCTACCTATGACGATAACACACACTTTATCACAGCCTGCATCATATTTAATACCAAATAGTAATGTAAAAATACCTTCAAAGTTCACTATTCAAACACTGCAGCATGTCCTGTCAATCAAACCGCTAAACTGCAGCTAACGTCACTCTGGCTATCTATGATACATCAACATCCATAGATTTATTAGATGCCAGTGTGGTTCCTTTGCCGTTATTTCTGACAGGATACAGTATTTATTTTTTAATGGCCATATTTTTTGGATTTTGGAAATACTGCATGAGGCATGTTGAGCAGAGGACAGTAAAAGGAGGTTGGGTCTTTTCCAGTTCATTTGCAAAGTGCTCTCTGCAATTTAACAAACTCCTCACTCTGTCACTCCTTTAAAGAAAACACACAAGAATACCAATGAATACACACAACAGCAGTGACTGTATGTAGCTGCTGAGACAACACAGAGAGGTTCATGTAGTGTGTTCTGCTGAAGGTCCCAATAGAAAGACAGATCACTTCACACACACCAGGAAATAAATAGGTTAACAATTTATATACAGATTTATGTTCTGGCCTGTGAACTTAAGATTGCAAGATTGTAATAAACTGATTGACTGATAAATAAAGTGACTTAAATTCTGACTTAAGTGACATCGATATTACTGGAAACAGAAAGTTCCAAACAACTAAACATTTATTAAAACAAAACAAAAATAAATAAATAAACTAATAAATAAATAAACAAATCACTAAACCAAACAAAACTCCAAAACAAACTTGAAATATTTCAAAGATTTGATGCCACAAACCTCACAAACTTTGGAAAACAAAACAATAAACTCAACTAAACAAAACACTAAACAAAACAAAACTGCAAAACAAACTTGAAATATTTCAGAGATTTAATGCCACGAACTTCAAAAACTTAACAAAACTAAACAAAATACTAAACGCGACTAAAAAAAACACTAAACCAAACAAAACTCCAAAACAAACTTGAAATATTTCAAAGATTTAATGCCACGAACCCCAAAAACTTAACAAAACTAAACAAAACACTAAACACGACTAGACAAAACACTAAACATGACTAAACAAAACACTAAACCAAACAAAACTCCAAAACAAACTTGAAATATTTCAAAGATTTGATGCCAGAAATCTCACAAACTTTGGAAAACAAAACAAAACACTAAACATGACTAAACAAAACACTAAACATGACTAAACAAAACACTAAACAAAACTCCAAAACAAACTTGAAATATTTCAAAGATTTAATACCACGAAACCCCAAAAATTTAACAAAACTAAACAAAACACTAAACACGACTAGAGCAAACACTAAACAAAACAAAACTCCAAAACAAACAAAATTTAAATATTTCAAAGAATTAATGCCACGAACCCCAAAAGCTTAACAAAACACTAAACACGACTAGACAAAACACTAAACACAACTTAACAAAACATTATACACGACTAGAAAAAACACTAAACACGACTAAAAAACACTAAAAAAAACAAAACTCCAAAACAAAACTTGAAATATTTCAAAGATTTAATGCCACGAACCTCAAAAAGTTAACAAAACTAAACAAAACACTAAACACGACTAAACAAAACACTAAAATGAACTTAACAAAACACTAAACACGACTAAACAAAACACTAAAATGAACTTAACAAAACACTAAACACGACTAGACAAAACACTAAAGACGACTAAACAAAACACTAAACAAAACATTAAAAAACAAAAACTCCAAAACAAACTTGGAATATTTTTTAAGATTTAATGCCATGAACTTCAAAAACTTAACAAAACTAAACAAAACACTAAACACGACTAAACAAAACACTAAACATGACTAAACAAAACACTAAACCAAACAAAACTCCAAAACAAACTTGAAATATTTCAAAGATTTGATGCCACAAACCTCACAAACTTTGGAAAACAAAACAATAAACTCAACTAAACAAAACACTAAACAAAAAAAAACTGCATAACAAACTTGAAATATTTCAGAGATTTAATGCCACGAACTTCAAAAACTTAACAAAACTAAACAAAATACTAAAAGCGACTAAAAAAAAAACACTAAACCAAACAAAACTCCAAAACAAACTTGAAATATTTCAAAGATTTAATGCCACGAACCCCAAAAACTTAACAAAACTAAACAAAACACTAAACACGACTAGACAAAACACTAAACATGACTAAACAAAACACTAAACCAAACAAAACTCCAAAACAAACTTGAAATATTTCAAAGATTTGATGCCACAAATCTCACAAACTTTGGAAAACAAAACAAAACACTAAACATGACTAAACAAAACACTAAACAAAACAAAACTCCAAAACAAACTTGAAATATTTCAAAGATTTAATACCACGAAACCCAAAAAATTTAACAAAACTAAACAAAACACTAAACACGACTAGAGCAAACACTAAACAAAACAAAACTCCAAAACAAACAAAATTTAAATATTTCAAAGAATTAATGCCACGAACCCCAAAAGCTTAACAAAACTAAACAAAACACTAAACACGACTAGACAAAACACTAAACACAACTTAACAAAACATTATACACGACTAGAAAAAACACTAAACACGACTAAAAAACACTCAAAAAAACAAAACTCCAAAACAAACTTGAAATATTTCAAAGATTTAATGCCACGAACCTCAAAAAGTTAACAAAACTAAACAAAACACTAAAACACGACTAAACAAAACACTAAAATGAACTTAACAAAACACTAAACACGACTAAACAAAACACTAAAATGAACTTAACAAAACACTAAACACGACTAGACAAAACACTAAAGACGACTAAACAAAACACTAAACAAAACATTAAAAAACAAAACTCCAAAACAAACTTGGAATATTTTTTAAGATTTAATGCCATGAACTTCAAAAACTTAACAAAACTAAACAAAACACTAAACACGACTAAACAAAACACTAAACATGACTAAACAAAACACTAAACCAAACAAAACTCCAAAACAAACTTGAAATATTTCAAAGATTTGATGCCACAAACCTCACAAACTTTGGAAAACAAAACAATAAACTCAACTAAACAAAACACTAAACAAAAAAAAAACTGCATAACAAACTTGAAATATTTCAGAGATTTAATGCCACGAACTTCAAAAACTTAACAAAACTAAACAAAATACTAAAAGCGACTAAAAAAAAACACTAAACCAAACAAAACTCCAAAACAAACTTGAAATATTTCAAAGATTTAATGCCACGAACCCCAAAAACTTAACAAAACTAAACAAAACACGACTAGACAAAACACTAAACATGACTAAACAAAACACTAAACCAAACAAAACTCCAAAACAAACTTGAAATATTTCAAAGATTTGATGCCACAAATCTCACAAACTTTGGAAAACAAAACAAAACACTAAACATGACTAAACAAAACACTAAACATGACTAAACAAAACACTAAACAAAACTCCAAAACAAACTTGAAATATTTCAAAGATTTAATACCACGAAACTCCAAAAATTTAACAAAACTAAACAAAACACTAAACACGACTAGAGCAAACACTAAACAAAACAAAACTCCAAAACAAAACAAAATTTTAATATTTCAAAGAATTAATGCCATGAACCCCAAAAGCTTAACAAAACACTAAACACGACTAGACAAAACACTAAACACAACTTAACAAAACATTATACACGACTAGAAAAAACACTAAACACGACTAAAAAACACTAAACAAAACAAAACTCCAAAACAAACTTGAAATATTTCAAAGATTTAATGCCACGAACCTCAAAAAGTTAACAAAACTAAACAAAACACTAAACACGACTAAACAAAACACTAAAATGAACTTAACAAAACACTAAACACGACTAGACAAAACACTAAAGACGACTAAACAAAACACTAAACAAAACAAAACTCCAAAACAAACTTGGAATATTTTTTAATATTTAATGCGATGAACTTCAAAAACTTAACAAAACTAAACAAAACACTAAACGCGACTAAACAAAACACTAAAGAAAACAAAACTCCAAAACAAACTTGAAATATTTCAAAGATTTACTGCCACAGACCTCACAAACTTAACAAAACAAAACACTAAAGACAATTAAACAAAACACTAAACATGACTAAACAAAATACGAAACAAAACTATTTCAAAGATCTAATGCCACAAACCTCAAAAACTTAATAAAACTAAACAAAACAAAAACAATAAAAAAAATTATAAAAAAAAATAAAAAAAACTTGAAATCTTTCAAAGATTTGATGCCACAAATCTCACAAACTTTGTAAAATCCACCGACTGATACAACAGATGCTGATTGGTAAATGGCAAATTGGCTCCCGTTCCTCAGAATACACACCGTCAGCCAATCAGATCCGAGTTAGCAGTTTTAGAAGACTATTTTCATTTCTAACTGCAGTATGCATCAAGCACAGACTGTAAACAGGTTATGCTGTCTAATCTTAGACTATGGTTAGAGTAACACGTGTTAGGAGATTATACGCCAGCCCAAACACACACACACACACACACACACACCGTGTGTCTCACTGCGAACTCTCCTTTCTGCTGTTCATCTGTTACAGTTCTTAATGAAA